TAGTTCAAACGAAGAAGCAGCTCAGGTGGAGCAAATTGAGCAAGATGCTGAATCTGATGGTTTTGAGGAAGAAGATGAGCATCAGCATCGTTCACCAGTTAGGAATCAGGTGGAGCAAGAAATAGGGCAGATTGAAGGCACTCTAATCCGCCAGACATCCCAAAGGGTTAGAACTCCAACCAACAATCCACCTGCATTCCAGAGATGCATAGCACTGGACAAACCTAATCAGAACAAGAAGAAACCTGACAGGTTTAGGTTTGACCAAGACGAAGTTAATTATGCTCTCAATATTAGTCAAGGAGATCCAACTACTTATCGAGAAGCTATAGCAAGTGATGAGCGTGATAGTTGGATAAGTGCTATGACAGAAGAAATGGAGTCTTTTTACAAGAACTCTGTTTGGGAGTTGGTTCCTAAGCCCAAAGACAGAAAGCTAGTTGGATGCAAGTGGGTATTTAGGAAAAAGGAAAGACTACATGAACAAGATGCCGTGAGATTCAAAGCAAGGCTCGTGGCTAAAGGGTACTCACAAAAGGAAAGGGTGGATTATGATGAGATTTTTTCACCCGTAGTTAAGCATACTTCTATCAGATTGCTTTTAGCAATGGCAACTCAGCATGACATGGAGATTGAGCAGATGGATGTGAAGACAGCATTTCTTCATGGGGATCTAGAGGAGACAATTTTCATGGCTCAACCAGAAGGATTTGTTGAATATGGGAAAGAAAACCTAGTATGTCAACTAAAGAAGTCCTTGTATGGCCTGAAACAGTCTCCAAGACAGTGGTACAAGAGGTTCGATTACTTCATGCTGAAAATCAATTTTAGAAGATGTTTATATGACTGTTGTGTGTACTATCATGTATTCCAAGATGGGATGGTCATATTGCTGTTGTTATACAAGGATTAAAATATCGGCCGTGCATATAATATCGGGCCTTCAATTTACAGATATTTCGGGGGATATATCGTTATCGTTTTAGGTATCGGGAAAAAATCAACAAAAATGACAGATATAGGCTTTGAAACACATAATATTGGTGTAAAACTTTCATAAATGTTATGTACATTATCAATGAATGTATTGAACAAATAAAACTCAAAATTTACTAATAATAAGATATACATATGATGAAATATAAGTAATATGTAACGCGCGTTAATGAAAAGTTCGAGAATAAAATGTTAATTAGAATGAATAAATCGTGCATAAATCCATAATTTGTTTAAATATTGGATTACAATTTAGATAAGTGTCCATTTACATAAATGAAGAGCTCCTATGAGGAACAACCATCTAGATTCATACAATAGTCATACCAAGTCATGTAACCCGAGCAGTTTGTAAGCCATGTTTGAACATGATGCACATAAGTCTCTCTTGGACTCCCTATTGTCTTCCCATATATGGGATAGTTATGATTAACCAACTAGTAGGTCCATAATCTTTTTTTATCATCTTGAGCTCCATAACTA